TATGGTTTCTAAGCATGGGTCAGTTGGAGGTATTGCTGTAGTTGCAAAGGTTGAATGAGTTCTATATTTGCAAGGTTTTAATTCATTTTGATATTAACTATGTTTACTTGCAGGTGTTGCTGCTTTGGCAGGATTTGCGATTTTTGGTACCAGGCTTACTGCTCTAGCAATAGATTAGATTTAGCTGCAAGTCTTTTGGGTTGCTTGGTTACATAGCTGGCTAATTTAAAGTCACATACGTTGCTGTAGTTACCAGGTTTGTTTTAGTGCCAGTAATTGGCATGTCTAGTAGGAGGTACGGCATGAGTTGCAGTGGTTGGCATAGTTACAGTAATTTATATATATAGCAAGTGACATTATTAATTGCATAAATTACCCTGTTTAGTTGCAGGAGTTGCTGTAGCCGTGGTTGATTTAGTTGCAGGTGTTGCTGGTATCAGTGTTGTTGCACATGGCAGCAGCGTGCAGTGGCTGCAGGTCTCTTATGTAACAGCTGCTTCCATCCTGCTGCTGAACAGATTAAAACCAGAGAGGATTAACGCACGCACACACTCGCACACACTGACCACAGCTGACCTACATCTACATCGCAGAGAAACATACGCCCCTTTATGTGTATGTGTGTGTGTGTGTGTGTGTGTGTGGGGGGGTGTGTGTGTGTGTGTGTGTGTGTGTGTGTGTGTGCGTGTGTGTGGGGGGGGGGGGGGGGGGGGGGGGGGCAGGATTACAGTACTGTTGTGTTTGTTGTATGTGATGTGAGTGGCATTAATCTGTAGCACAGAAACATCCCGCAGCCCCTGAACACAGCAACAGCTTTAACAGCAGATTCTCAGCATCTGAGTAAAGACCCTACAAGGTTGTGTTTGAAGTTAGAAACAAAATATAAAAAGAAATCCATATTTAAAAGCAGAAGTGGAAAACGACACAGAGCCCGTCTGCCTGTTCTGAATTACAACCCCACACCTTCACCAGCATGAAGGAGGCTCTTTGACTTCCTCACAATGTCAGCAACTGATTTTGTGATTCAACATCAAGCCGTAACGTGAACCTTCTCTGTGGCTTTTCCTCCTGTTTGGCAGCTCAATCTTCAACATCCTTTGTCCAATATATAAACTATCCCTCCTACGCACATCTTTGCTGCTCAACCTGAGCTGTTCCTCTGATGTACTCATTCCTAATGCTGTCCATCCAGCTCTTTGGAAAATCTTCACCGTAGCCACCTTCAGCTCAGTTTCCTGTCTTTTTAAAGTGCCACTGTCTCCAAACCAAGCAACAAAGCACATCTAGCTGTTATAATCTATTTAATTTAATTTATATAATGCCAAATCACAACAACATTTACCCTGAGATGCTTTATATTGCAGGGTAAAGACCCTATAATGATACAGAGGTAATCCCAACAATCAAAGATCGCCCTATGAACAAGCACTGTGTGTCACTGTGGAAAGAAAAACAAGAGCGCGTCTGTGGAAACAAGAAAAACACCCTTTCAGCTAGATTGCTTGTCTTTATTTGTAAATAACATACAAAAAACCCCTGGTCCTTTAGAATAATCAACAGTACACCGTTTTGTTATTTACCCGATAATTGCACTAAAATGCTGTAAAAGGCACCATCACCACAAGAATAGTCAAGAGATGAGGCCATGGCCCTGTGATGCAAACTACGCCTTGATAAAGTTTTGATATTGGGCTCTATTCCAGTTCTAAGGCTAGAAACGTGTTTATTTTTGCTGCAAAGTTGGGGATTTTAAATTGGGAGTCCATGGGGACTGACTCGCTTTTGGACCAGCCTCAAGCTTCAAGTGGCCATTAGAGTAAATGCACTTAAGCTCTGGCTTCATTTTTCAGTCCAGGAAGTTTCCGCTTGATGAGGCAACAATGGGATCATCTTTCCCACGTTTTTCATGCTTTTCTTCTCTGTGCTTTAGTATTTACATGAGAACGGTGTTGTGCATCGTGACCTTAAACCAGAGAATCTGCTGTACGCCGACCTGTCTCTGGATGCTCCGCTGAAGATAGGTAACAAACTCTCTACATACCCTCCACATCTGAATACAACAGCATGAAATGACAAGTTTATCATGTTCCAACACAAGTTGTGGAAAATATTTTTCTGTTATTATCGACCACGCTGTCTGTTATCATCAGTGGTGAAACAGTGCAGTTTGGAAATGCCGAGTATGACTGTGATGAGACATCGATGAGCTAAAACACATGAAAGTAAAACAAAACTCGTTTCCTGGCTCATAACAACAGGAAATTATTGCTTTGTTTACTTCAATTTTAAACACCGTCGGCATTTGCAAATAACATGTCAGTAACTGCCCTAAAGACTGTTTTCAAATCTGCTCCTATCATCTCAATTATGTCAGCTCCTATTGTGCTTATACTTTATGTAAAATAAAAATCAGCATTCTTAAAATAACCACAAACCGTGGTCGTCTTGTGGCCCTGAAAATATGCATGAACACTGGGGTTTGCTGTGAGAGCCCAAACATTTGCATACAGATTTAGCATCAGTCTTAAACTGAGGTTTTGCATACAGCTCAACCTTCAGTGTCTTTGGCTGCATTTGAGGCATTAAACTTGTGACTGCATCATATTTCGAGCTTGTTTAGTCCGAGAGGTAAAAACTCTCACAGAAACATATTGTTGGCTCAGAATTTGGTTCATTTTTGGAGGAGCTCCTGCGTCCAGATGGCCAGCGAGCCCTCGGCTAACAGATACAGATGGAAGCCTCCGTTCCTTTCGAGTGAAACTCTTCTCCACCAACACCTTCCTTTAGTTCAGAGACTTGCCTGCAGAAAAACACATTTTCCTCCACCTCCACTGCTTCACCCCCTCATTTCTCTTAATATAGAAACAGGAAACTGAACAAAACAAATGCATTACAAGGTTTTTATCTCGCTTCAGTCTGAATGAAAGAAAATATTCTCTTCTTTTACAGCTGACTTTGGTCTTTCAAAAATCGTAGATGACCAGGTGACCATGAAGACAGTCTGCGGTACTCCGGGGTATTGCGGTGAGTACAAAACCTGGTGTAGCGTAGCTATGAATACCACATTCACTTAAGCTCACTGTATTCTTATCTATATGGCCTCCAATCACACAACATTAGTCATCTCAAAGTCCTTTGTACTGTAGGTTGAAAGCCTACAGCACAAAATAGTCAAACGATCCGATATAAACAGCACTTGGCAATCAGAGAGAGAAAAATTTGCCTTTTAATAGGAAGAAACTTCCAGCAGAAAAAGGCTCAGGGTGGGGCTGCCATCTGCTGCGACCAGCCCGGGCTCAGAGCAAACAGTCGATGGCAAAAATAAGACTCAGCTCACAGAAACAACAAACAGGACAACACAAACTACTGCAAAGAAGCATAAACGAGTGAATGAGAGAAGAGTGATGGAGAAGTGCTACGAGTGTCATGTGAAAATTCTCAATTCATCAGGACGTAGTGAAGATGTCAGTGTTTTCACTGTGATCCTTCTAATCAGCTGAAGCCTGAAGGACGACCAGATAATGAGAAGTTACAACGTTAAAATTATTTTTCAGCATTGCTCTGAGCAGGATGCTTCTATTTTTGACAATGTTGTCAGTTAATTAGTACATCCTCAAAAACGACTGCAGTGTTGCTCACGGTAGTACTGGACATGTAACACCATCCAGAGAGGATTTCTGTTTAAACACCAGATTTTTAGGACCAAACACAGAATGACTGGATGGTGTCTCTCCCACAGCAGCACATCGTGTTTGAGGAAGACTCAAACACTCCAGCATAGTGTGGGACCTTTAATCTCAGTGATACGACATGGCACAGCAGCAGGACTTGGTGGTGTAGTAACAGCCAATGAGCAGCACTTTGAGGTGTGGGGAAAGTTAAAGTGGTGACGATATGGCAGCTGACGCTCTGGATGGTGTCTGTAGATGTTGCTGTAGTAGGTGTAGTATCAGTAGTAGATGTGTTTATTCACCTGCGTTGCAGTGATATATGCGAGTGGGCAGTAAGGCGTTCCCTGTGGCGTGTTCTCTGTGGGATTTCAAAAACTCTCTGTTAGAGCTTCTGTCAGCCATCTGCTGTCTAACAGACTCCTCTGCTTGCAGCTCCAGAGATCCTGCGGGGAAATGCCTACGGCCCTGAGGTGGACATGTGGTCGGTGGGCGTGATCCTCTACATCCTGTGAGTCCATTAACACCTTGCTGCCAGTCCAAGCGTACACTCACACATATATACTAAAATATTCATCGCTGACTCACTCTCATCAGTATATACGTTTTATGGTCCATCTGATTCATGACAGCCATTTAACACAATGACATAATGTGAAAGTCTGCATCCTGTTTATCTGCTTTCCTCAGACAGCAATTAAGCTTTTAATGCTGCCTTCAAATGGATCTGAGAGCGACACACTGCTGTGGTTTCTCATCTAGAAGGGATGTGGCAAAATAAGTGTCCTTTCCTAGACTCTTTCCTTTGGTTTGTTTCCCCAGACTCTGTGGGTTTGAGCCTTTCTTCGACCCAAGAGGGGATCAGTACATGTATAGTCGCATCCTCAACTGTGACTATGAGTTTGTTTCTCCGTGGTGGGACGAGGTCTCCCTCAATGCTAAGGATCTGGTGAGTTACACCAATGATTTGACATTATTATTTATGTTAAATGTGAAGAAGTGCAGGACCTCACACTTTATTTTAAAGCTCTCAGACATGTTTTAAACTCTCGCTGCCCAGGACAGCGTAGTAGAAACTTAAACTGACCTGAAAGACTTTATACTGGGCATTGACTGGGATTGGTGACATCACTGGGACTTCACACTTTATATTAACTTGTCTGGAATCACTTTGGACTTGGATGTATATTTGTGATGCTGTTTTTGGACGGCTTGGTACGTGTTGGATCTTTGGTTGGTGTCGACTAACACGACTAAGGCTTATGCTAAACTAAAACTAGACTTGGACTTGACTTGAGTGGAGACTTGTTTGAAATGATATTGAGATTTATGGAATGACTTGATGCACTAAATTGTCTTGGCCTTTACCTCTGGATGACTAAAGATCCATTTCTTGGTGTGATTTGAATTCAGAATGAAGTGAATGACTTGATAATTCACATGAGCCTGATTCTATATCTTGAATCTTAACATTTATTCATAGATTGGACTTGGACTTGTGTGAAGGCCCTGGTTTATCCTGTCTGATTTGTCCGCAGGTCAGTAAGCTGATTGTCCTCGACCCTCACAAGCGCCTCAGTGTCGGGGAGGCCCTGCAGCACCCCTGGGTGCTGGGCAAAGCTGCCCGGTTCTCTCATATGGATACTACCCAGAGGAAACTACAGGAGTTCAACGCTAGACGCAAACTTAAGGCTGGTCCTTTGTCATAGTTTCATTTCACAGTGATTGGTTTTGTGGGCATCAAAGGTCATAGAAGACTTTTCTGTCATTTTAAGATTTGAGTTGACATTTTGGGAGATAAACTAGGGAATGACTCTTGTACATAAAGCCCAAAATGAAATCTGCTCAGAGCATCTGCACCTGTATACTATGTGGCCTAAACTTTTATATACACACACATAGATTAGTTAAGCTGCAGGTGAAACTTCACCGGGGCTCCAGATTCCACCCACCAAGAGTTGGCTTTCAGATGATTCAAACTTCATGAATGAGGTCAGTAAAGATCTTAGTAAAGCTGGCTCTGGTGAGCCTGGGTGCAGCATAAAAATGTAAATTTAACAATCACAGGATTTACATTCGAGCGGGCAGTTGGTAACAAAATCATATTTTTTCTACATGGCATTTTGAATTTATTGAAATTACAGGACAGGGTAATAGAGAAACATGACAGGGAAGAGGAAGCTGAAAGCAAATATCAACTCAACATAGTTGACAAATCTGCTTTAAAGACTTTTAAAAGATCCTGAATGCTCACTCACTGTTCTGTGTGCTGACAGGCGGCCATGAAAGCTGTCGTGGCCACAAGTCGGATGCATGAAGGCTCGCGGCGTCGCACAGACAGCTGTGACATTCCAGGTTCAGGGGCTTCCAGGCAGAGCAGCATGCAGCAGGACCCGCCTCCTGAGTCTGCATGCTCCACCCAAAAAGACAAAGAGGCTCCACCTCCTGACCAGCAGTTGCCACAGGAAGTTGAATCGAAGTCTGCTGACCCAAACACCCTCAGCCCCTCTCCTCCACACAGCCCCAAACTACCCAGCTCTGATGTCACACCCGCAGGGCCCATCCCCACCAGACCGCCACTGCGCGCTGATGGGCTGCGACAAGTATCTGTAATCCCTAAAAGCATGCTGGTCCAACCCCGGCTGCCGCAGAAAAGCTGCTCTGTCATAGAGCCAACCCCCAGAGTTGGGGCCACACCCACACTGGGCTCACCCCCGAGTCCCAACAACCTCAGCAATGGCTTCACATCTGGGGCGGAGCCTACCAGTAAGACCACCCACTGCCAGTGATCACATGGCAAAATTAAAAAAAATTCTCGACTCTGCTTCAGTTTCACACAGAAGTAAAAAACGTTCAGCTTTCAGCAGCTAAATGAACTTATTTGGACCAAATTACAGTAAACCTAAAATCTGCAGCTCACATTTAACCCGCATCACCACACGTCTGGGATCTCTTTGGCTTACATGCTAACAGATACGGATTCATGGAGGGGTCGCTGGACATTTCTGAAGATGGGCAGGTGTTTTATCTTCTGTTTTTTAGTATAAAGGCCTTCGATTATTTAGGAGAAGTAAAAATAATTTCCCCCATTAGCACTCGTTTATGTGAGGGTTGACTAAAAACACAAGAAATGTAATAAATGTGAATTGTCTGTTAAGCACTTCAATCTCAGCAGCACTGTCGAGCTTGTTTGCTCATTTTCACTGAGACAGTGGACGTGTTAAGCTAAGTCAGTGACAAATAACCAGCATGCTGGGGAGCAGTTATCAAGGCCGTGCACATTTGGACCTGAGGGTGTGTTAGCATTTAGCTCACCCACTACAGCACTTCATCAAGTAGCTCTGAATTATTCAGCACATCAGCAAGACTCAATATATTTTTGCAAAGACTCAACATATTTGGAAAAAATTCGAATAATAAAATAACTCGTAAGAGCTACAATTTATTTGTCTTACCACAGAAATGAACCAAAGACGTGTGTGTTTACAACCAAAATGAAGCACTCGATCAGTGACACTGGACAATGGCGTCTATTATCACACCTTCTTACTTACAACTGGTATCAAAAGGGAGCTATTATTTTTTAAGTTCTTATTTTTTGTTATTTTCTGTAATATGTTACAGTTTGAGCTGTCAATTTTAAACATGGCTAACATTTCAAATAAAAAGGTGAAAGTATGTAAAAGTTATCCATATATGCAAAAAACTCAGAACTTAAAACTGTTTTCTGCTGTTTTTTGTATTTCTTTTTAAATGTATTAATTTTTAATGTTCAAAATCTTTATGTTTTCATCTGCTACAGGCAGTACATGCTTACCTAGTGTCAGGCTTACAGAAGTTAGCAGATTTGAAGAAAGTGTTTTTTGGGTGGGGGTGTGGGGGACGGATGAATAGCTCATTTCCGACAGGATGAATTGAGGAGTATTTTAACTCTGCTAACTCTGCACTTACTATCTCAGTTGTAGAGATTTGGGGAAACTTCAGAATAAATAGGCCACTGTGGCTTTCAAAGTAAACTTTAATGGAGCACACATTAGAAAAGTAAAAACTAACACCCAGAAAGTTTCTGGATTACTGCAACTAAATGCAGTTATTGACTGAGCAGTTTAGTAATACAGAGTTTTTAATAACCCAGATTCACCAACAAAATCTGCATCTAACATCAAAGAGGTTAATCGCCGGAGAAATAAACGACAGGTTTTCTTCAGGGAGGAAAAAAGTGCTTCATTTTTGCTGCAAACATTTATTTTGGTCTTTGCAGACTCCCACATTAAAGGGACATTACAACATTTTGCACCAAACACTTTTGCTAAATTTGACTATGACTCACATGTCCTACAGTTAGCCTAGCATAGCATAATACTGGCAATAAAGAAGCAGCTAGCTTTAAGTCCACTTTCCACCACCTTCAGACTTAACAGCCCAGATCTCGTAAACAGACTTGGACTGCTATCATGTGGGCTTGATGAATGTATCCGGTACCTGAGGAATTAGGATCAAATTTTGACTCTGTTTCTTTTCTTTAGCGTTTCTGTGGTAACATTCGGGTGAGATCTGGCAAAGAGCTGACTGTTTGTGGGCCTAGATTGTGATTGTGCCTGCTGTGATTTAGATTTGCACCACAACTTGGGTTTAACAAAATCAAGTTCAAGTCCAACATTCAGATAATGTATGGATTCCCTAACTGAGTGGCACCGCAGGCCGACCTTTACTGCAGCTAAACATTTAACAATCTAATTGAAAAGAAAAAGGAATTCGTTCAATTTCCACAAAGAGGCAATAATCAATTATTTCTATCCTATCCCAGGTTTAATGTTCATGCTTTCTGTCTGTTGGCAGGTGTAGGTGGAATTTCCTCCATACTTAACACAAAAACATGAAACTGAAATCCATGCTGATCTTTTCCTTTAAGTCCTGATCTGGGACAAACTGAGACTTGAGTATTATGTTTGGGCTTCTTCTTCTTCTCCTGACGCAGAAAGCGGACTTTTCCTGTGATGCTCAGGACAGAGACTGATTGTATTTTATTAAACGTACACAATGACTTGGCGCTCACCTGCATGAACGGATGCTCTTTATTCATGGACAAGGAGAGAGAGCGCAGCTTCATTTCTCGGCTTTTTCTTCTTCTTCTGCATCCCTTTTTTTAGCATGCGCGCTCAGACGCTTCAGACTTTCATGTTGCTGTAAAACTCTGAGTTTTTTAATCCTTTTTACTATTTACCGCCGACACCCGCTGCCGTGATTACGCAGCTGTATGAGTAAATAGAGTTCCTCCAGTGTGTAGCGTTCAGGTAAGTAACTCGTGTTTGTGATCTTCTCGTAAAATGTTGTGTTGTTTACACTTTATCAGCAGTGACGATGCGATCTTATTTGCACTGTACATACTGTAGTTTGGTTTTAGACAAGTTATTACTAACATCTTTACTGCTCGACTCACTAAGAAACATGTTCAGTGTTTAAGCTCCCAAATATACCAAATTTGACCTTCGTGGAAAATAAACCCCTTTCATCCGATCTAAAACCACACGTTCTACCTCTTTTTGTACAGGGGCTTCCAAAATGAAATGAAAAGATGCAGATCTGGAAAGAAAATGAGATGAGACAAGAAAGATCCAATTTACATTTACACTTAAAGTTATGGTGGCCAAGACAGAACCAACAGAAAGTCTGAGAAAACACAAGCAAGCACTTTAAGCCAGCCAACAGTGCATGCTACCTAGCAGGAAACATTATACTGTTTGCTGGTTCCACAGTAGTTAATCACTGTGAGGTTTTGGAGATGTTAGAGGAGTTTGTAAGAACACTACATTGGCTACCGAGCGGTTTCTCAAACATTTTGTTTGATGTGTCCAATCTCCACTCACGACACCACAGCATATTAGTCAACAAGTCCTGAATTTATCACGAGCCAGTGCAGGAAATTCCTCTTAACTGACCGCACATATGCTCACACAGAGCAATTCATTTGTTTGCTTAATCACTGAGTGAGGCTGGTCAGGAGGCTCGCGATGAACTGGCTGCTTCAGATGTTGTTTATCAGCATCTGATAGCAAGGCCACGATCTCCAAAAAATCATGGAGAGCCTTGCCAAGATGTCCAAGCCGGGATGCCTCTTACTTCATTGTTTTCTGCATTCGTTCCTTGTCTCACTGCAGGCAAGCAGTTTTCTTGTACTGCATATCGTTAGCTTCATAGCATAAGTGCCTAAGTCATTTTTTGGTCAAATTGAGATTTTTGCCTAACTTTACTCCCCTACCACTGCTGCATCATCCTGTCCGTCACAAAAAAAATGACTTAGGCACTTATGCTATGAAGCTAACGATATGAAGAATGGACACGACGTTGGTTTTTTGAATAGATGAGAGGGTGGATAGCTCATGTATCAGCTGACACTAGCAAGCTTGGTTCGTAAGCTGCATCCACCTGCTGTAAGGTGAATGATGCAGTATTCTCTCACTGCGCTTCTGAAAGTGAAAGAAGGATGCTCAACTGCATCTGAATGACATCATCTACAGTTGAATCCGCCTCCACACTGACAAGCTGTTTCTCAGCAGAGAGCTCAGTCCACAGTGAACCGCTTCACATAAAACCAGTCCAGTCTCTACTTTATCGAGACGTTTTCACTTTGCAAACAGCAAACCTGCATCACAGCATCATGTCTGGAAGATAACTAAAGCTAATATCTCACAGCTTTGATTCTCAGCGGTTAAATCACCCACACAGACGCCCTGCTGATTTTAGGATCAAATCTTTTATTTTAAAAGAAGCTAATTATGTCTGCAGCACACCAGGCTGGATGAACGTCATTATATATCAAATTTGTAAATAATATTAATATGTTGAAGCAATCCATATATCTGGTATGTGATTTAGCTATCTTTTGATTCTTTTGGCTCAATTCTTTTCAGAACTGAGTTAAAAGAATCTCATTTTAAAGCACTTTAAGAAGAAACGTGAAGAGATGCAGTAAAGTCTCATTAAGCAGTAAACTGTGGTGTTTACAGCTGCCTAAAGGTCTCTGCTTTGTGTTCTGTCTCAGCCACCATACAAAATCCTAGATTATGAAGAGGAGCACATTTGTTCCTGAAGGGCTTTTCTTTTTTAAAGAGGAACCACAGCTGTAACCAACACTGCTCCCAAAATTGATGAAAGCTGATGAATGGATGGACATGCTGATCACAAGCTTACCATCTCATAAATTCAACAGTCTGTCTAATCGCTGTCCCATATTTTATTTAGATAAAAAATATATTTGCATTTATGCATCAAATCATTCTCTTCAATTCAGACCACTCACCCGGGTTTTCACATGGTTACATGGGAAGTAATGAATCATTAAAAAGGAAATATCAAACCTTCAGTTTCAGACTGTCAGTCACAAAACATATATTTTGGATTTGAATTTCAGTTTGTGATTTGGTTCCTCTTTAAACCATTCAGTTAAAGCACGAGTTTTCCGTTGGACAGATGTGTCACAGCTGGATGCCACGTTTACCTGAGCACAGGTGTTTAAAGCTTCTTGCCAGACGGAACACACTGGATAACTAGCAGTCGCGGTGAACGCATGTAACTGTATATTTGATTTATATCTATACGCTTCTGTAAGAACATGAACATTTTGCTTCTATTTATCTAGCCTGTTAGAGATTTGCAGGGTGGGGTTGAAGTGGGTGGGGCTACAACTGTAAATGGTATTTGTTTTGTGTTTGATGAGTATAATTGTACCTTTTTTTAAAGATTCTGACAGCTGACATATAAAGTGACAGTGTAACAGTCTGAGCTGTTACACGTGTATCTTTGCATGTATTATTTAACTTCCTTTGATCACATCAGATTGAAGAAGCAAGCAGGGAGTTTGAATCCTGCAGGACTCTGTAACAGCTGCTCAGCTGATCTGAGGTCTGTTTGAATGAACTTTTGCTGCAGGATGTTTCAGGCAGGGTTTTGCATCACATGTACAGTAAAGGATATGAATCACTCATTGCTTCTGGTCTTCTTTCCACACCTTTGCTGTCAGCCAAAGACGTTTGGAGGACAGATGGATGCAGTGTTGACGGTATTCTGGTATTTCTTTTGGTGACAAATGAGTGTGCTCATCATACACACGTTTTGTTCGTCATACTCTTTCTAATTTTAAATAAAATAGAGAATTCTAGTGTGAAAATGCTATCATGGCGTCTAAATTCAAGTGTCGCTTTCAATGTAATCGGACAGAAAATAGAATTCCTTGGAAAGATTTAGAATCGGAAAGAGGAAAGAGGAGGCTGGAACGGGTTAAGTTCAGGATATTACACAGAGTCAGTGCAACCTGATTGTAAATCAATTATGTAAAAAAATAAAACTAACATATAAATATAAAACAAATATAAATGCTATGTACTTATATGGTTTCTTTTTGACTTCTGTTGCCATGATGACAGATCTTTCTTCAAAATAAGATTTCTAATCTCAATGAGTTTTTACCTGGATAAATAAAAGACTAATAATAAAATGTAATTTGTGTTAACCCACTGAGCATTATCTGTTGGTTAGAGAAAAATCTACATGCGTTTCAATTCAGAAATGCAAACATGCATTTGAGTATATCCACGTTTATACTCTGTCAGTGAACTTTCCTGACCAGGTTCTGTTGTTTGACCTGACCAGTGTGTTGACCAGTTAGCTCACGGGCTTCGGGGTGAAAGGTCAAAGGTTTCGTTTCCAGAGTTTCTGTTCACTTTTCTTCATATTTATAGAAAGATAATATAAAACAATTCTTGCATTCACATTTCCAACAATGATTAGGACAAAATGCATCAGAGAGCACGGTGACGTTTTCAACATCACAGAATCGATTGCTTTGATTTTTTGTTACAACTGTTTAGTACAGACTACATGTGAAGTCATCCAGTGTTAAAATGTACAGTTTCCCATGCTAGGGGCACACTGAGGACTTGGTAAGCAAGCAGAGAATGCAAGTGGTAGTCGTTCCCTTTCTCCTTTGAACCATGAAAACCACAGGGAGAGAGGTGGGGTACACCTGGACAGGTTAACACAGACAACCATTCACACTCACCCCCATGAGCAATTTAGAGCCAATTAACCTACCCTCACTAATTACATGGGACCACACAGACACGGGGGAACACGCAAACTCCACACATAAAAGTTCTGGCTAGACAGTGGAATCAAACTTGAGACCTTCTTGCTGTGATGCAACAACCACTGTTCCATCATGCTGCGGCTAAATAACACACTAAATATGACTATGAAACATGAAATATGTGCTTCAGGTTACCGTGTGTCTTTCTGTATAAAAGCCTGGATTTGTTACCGATTAACCCATCCATCCATCCAGTCACTGCCGCACATCCTTTTCAGGGTCACGGGGGGCGCTGGAGCCTATCCCAGCTGTCATAGAGCGAGGGGCGGGGTGCACACTGGACAGGTCGCCAGTCTGTCGCAGGGACACAGAGACAGACAACCATTCGCACTCACATTCACAGCTATGGGGCAATTTAGATTTTTCAGTGAACCTTTCCCCACAAAGTGCATGTCTTTGGATGGTGGGAGGAAGCTGGAGTACCCGGCAAGAACCCACGCAAACACGGGGAGAACATGCAAACTCCACACAGGAAGACCCCGGCCTGATGGTGGAATTGAACCCAGGCAACAGTGCTAACCACTGTGCCACTGTGCTGCCCATTAATTAAATTCAAACAGAAGATATCAGCCTGACCATCATGTCCAGTAAGAATACCAGTTTAAGGTTTCTTTGGATTCATTTAATTATTTGCTGTGATTTCCTCTGTACACCTTCATAGCAGAGAATCTGAGAAACAGCAATTGTAATAATACAATTTTACCATCAGTTTTATTGTTTCATGAATTATTCCTCATAATTATGTTTGTTTGTGTTACCTTACATAAACGTTCCCATCAGAAAAATACTGAGTTTAAGTAATATGAGCTCAAATCGTGATCAAGGACGCCTAAATGTCATTCCAGGAATTGAACCTGTGGCCTCCAAGCCATTACTCAGCCTCTGAGCAGAGTTTCTGTCTGTACATTTTCCCTCCTTGCGTTGTTCCACACCAGTATGAAGATGTGAGCCTCCAGTCTGCCGTTGACACCTCCCTCACTGAGGTGGCGCTGTAGCCCCGCTTTGACTTCTTCCATGGCCGCTCAGGGCGTACTGATGTCAGCACCATATCATTCAGGCCCCACAGGATGTGCTGCTGAGGAGAGGTTAGTCCAGTCAGAAGGCAGACCAGGAGGGGAGCAGATCGTGGATGCTGAGAGAGCCGCACGGACGACAACAACTGAATAGACGGCGTGTTGGAGGAACCTGGAAACAAAGAACATTGTAGTATTTTTTTCCATGTTAACAGAAGAAAATGGCAGAACTGTATGGATGTGTTTAATATTTTAGATGAATTTCCAAACTTCCATTATTAGGTAAAATGCACTGAAACAACAACACAAACATCAGATCCCAGACAGGCGCCTTTGTACTGCTTACTGTGATTTCTACAGTGCCATGAAAAAGTATCTGCCCCCTTCCTGAGTTTTAATGGGTTTTCTTTTTTGCATAGTTACATGTGTCAGACCCTCAAACTTCCCTTATTAGATAAAGTAGGGGAAGTGGTAGCTACTCAACTGAAAAAGTTCAACAATGTTGTCTCAGGGATTAATGTTAAAACATCTTTTAAGGTCAAAGCTGCATAAATTGTAAGATTATCCAAGTCAAAGCAAAATAGTTTTAAAATGATTATTTCCATCTATGAAGGGTGGAAAAAGCGGATGATCTGATATCCGAGTGTCGGTGTTGTTCCCACATCATCATAGTAAATGTTGTTCCAGGTTCAACATTGCAAGTGACCAATCACATTGTTGTGATGTCCCCCTTTTGTGCCTTTGAAAAATACCGCCTTAAAAAAAATCTATTTCACTTGCGAGAAGAGAAACCGCTTCTGTCCGCCGATCCAGGAACTTGAATTCTTTGCATTTCAGGATACTTTCCTTTCATAAACGGTAAGCATTATACATATTGTCCTTACAGAGGCGCTTTCTCTTCTCGCAAGTGAAGTAGATTTTTTAAGGCGTTTGTTCAGCAGAAGGTGATTGGTCACTTGCAATGTTGAACCTGGAACAACATTATTTATGATGACGAGGGAACAACACCAACACGAGGATATCAGATGGTCCGGAAAAAGCTCTCCTGGACCGCTGTAAATGGGGGGATTCCCAGTTTCATCTCAAATTTTCCAATAAAAACATCAACATCTGTAAGACTTTTGGGAAAGTGTTCAGTGGACTCTCGAGACAAAAGTCGAACTTTTGGGAAGGTTTGTATTCTGTTATATCTGGGGTAAAACTTCATAAAAAGAAAATCCTATGAAGAGTCAGACGCGGGGGTGATGTCTCGGGGCTGCTTTGTGATGGTCTTGGGCTTTTTTGCTGCCTCAGGGCAATTTTCTTTCCTGGACATAACCGTAAGTTCTGCTCTCTACCAGAAATTCCTGAAGGAGAATCTCTGGTCATCAGTTTGTGAACTGAAGCTCACGCAGACTTGGGTTATGCAGCCGGATCCAAAACTCACCGCAAAGTCCAACCCCTGAATCTGTGGCTCCAAAGAGAACCAAAATGAAGTTTTTAAGTGGCCAAAATCTGGACGTAAATCAGACTGAGATGTTTTGAAGTGACCTTAAACAGGCTGTGCATGCTGGAAAACCTCAATTGTGGCTGAATTAAAGTATTTCTACAAGTAAGAGTGAGCAAAATCCTTCACAACACCTTGAACGATGGCACGAGCAGTTATTAAGTTTAGGGGGAAATTTCTTTTCACACAGGTAGGTTTGGATAACTCTTTCGCCTTATTCAATGAAATCATCATCTAAAAACTGCATTTTATATTTGCTCTGGTTATCTTTGTCTTCTATTAAAAGTTGTTTGATGATCTGAAATATTTAACAAGCCATTCGTGGCATTGTATTCTTAGTTTTTCAGTTCTAAAGTCCAGAGAGGCCTGGACTGAACATACAGATAATTAAACCCCTGACATACTGGTCTAAAGGGAAAAACAAAGAAACAAAGACGATCTTTCATCTTGTTTTATGTTTCCATGTTTTTGTTAGTTTCTAAAGAGAAGCTCTCAAAATCCAAACAGAATACGAACACAGTGCTGACCGTGGTGCAGTTTGTCTAGTGGAGCTGTAGCTGTTGACTTGTTTTGATGGTTGAGAAGGTCATCATCAGCATCAAAGTCAGCCACTTCTTCATCAACATGCACCACCAGCCGGGTCCCAGGGCCAAAAACCATCGAAAAAGAGAAAGTCTGTCTGGTGGGAACTGAGCAAACAGTGCAGCAGCTGCAGCGGCAGCAAACCACCATTACTAACAGTGGAACAAACGTGAGTGTTAAAGGAACAGTTCACTATTCTGTGCAGCATCTTACCTTATGAGGATGATGAAAGTCACTGCAGTTTCCATGACGATTCCACTAAAGATTTAGCTGAAGAGAGAAAAATCCTGGTAAACAAAGATTAAAGTAAAAAGCCTACACCACTCATAATGCTGTTGAATAATACCTGTGCATCTTTCAGATTAAAGTTTTTCTAAATCATATCGTTTTCCTTAAATACTGATATTAATTTCTCAGCTGCCTCGACCTTAGATATTTACCTTTGATAAGTGTGTCCCCGTGGTTCCTGCTGTCACTCTGATGCCCACAGATCTCCTGTGTCGTATCATCTCTCATCAGTGAAATCAGGAAACTTCAGGGTCTGGAAAATAGAAACATGAGAAACTGCTGGAGCAGAACAACAACAGTCTCCAGAGGAGACAAACTGCTCTTGGATCACATCGACCGTTGGTTTAGTCAGTTGGTGAAGGACAGAAAAACAGGAAATTTTCAGTTTTTTTCTTAATTCAACTGTTGGACCCCAAATAAGATCCCAGTGAAACCGTCAGTTTGCATGTTCACAAACACTGTTTTTATGATTTATTAGCTGAACATTTCCCATAAAGATACACTGTAACACAACATCTAATATAATATAATATAATATAATATAATATAATATAATATAATATAGTTCAAGTTACATATGATCTTTGTTACATTTAAATAAAATGTAACTGATGCAAGAGATTACTGACAGTTTAAGGAGACTGGCAATAAATACAGCGCTGATTGTAACTATGGCAATTACATTTTTGATTATAATTTTCTTGAGATGCTTGATGTTGAATGTTTATTTCCTATTTCAAGTAAAAGAGTTGATGAGTATTTTTAAAATATTTCACATAAAAGATACTAAAATTACTTTGGGGACTTTAAGGACAAAAACTTTCAGAGCAAATAAAACTAAAAGACTACGTGTGATTAAACATTTCATTTAACATTTCACTTGATTTTTGTTTTACAGCACAAACACAAAAAACACCAGAAGTATAACAGCTCTGCATCAAACACATTTATAATTTTATTACCATCTTGTACGGAGTTTTTAAAATGGTGTAAGATTGTCTTGAAAGAAATTTTCATGTTATAGCAGCTTACAGGAAAATACGTCTTTAAAGGGCGCATCCACGTAGAAATATGATTTTGATGCATACTTCACTTCATGACATCTGCGCAGATGTTGTTCGTCTGCTTGCTTGAACACCTGCAGCTTTTATGACATCACAGCTATTTTTCAGTCACTTGGGTTAAATGTGAAACGTTTAGGTTAAAGAAGAAATAAATCTCAAGTTAAGCTGGCCTACATGCCCCCATGGCACAGAGGCATGCTGTCCTTAATTCAAGGACAGTAGAAGGGTGAAAAGTAAGTTGTAACAATGAATCTTTAAGTCATGCTTTATCTGTATTTTCAATTTTAATAATGTAAAATATATATGGTTAGATATTTAATGATATGAGGTGTGTCAGATTTTGACAAGCTCTAGAGGTTTCTGCTTACTAATGAGAAGTTTTTTACTTTAATAACTAATAACTCTTTTTTTTAAACTATTCTTCATTAGGTCAAAAAATGTTGTTACATGTGTTTCCCTGTGCATATTATTAATATAAAAGAGATTATAAAAAACTTTCAGATAACCTCGACATTCACGGTATAAATTTAGGAGTGGCAGAGAAGTACATGCAGGTTGTGCAGAGGCAGCGCTGAGGTGTGCAGTAAGAGTGACACCAAGGCTCAACTCTGAGCTGCTTCTTGTTTGCAGTGGTGATGAACAGGCTGACAGATGAGGTCAGACAACAGTCTCTGTGAACTATATGTTTGCAGATGATACTGTGATCTGTAATAACAGCAAAGAGCAGGTAGAAGAAAGCCTGTAAGTAAAAGGAATGAAATGTCCTGGTATTACAGCACACATCTGTGAATGAGAAAAAGGTATAACAGTGAAGCTGCACAGAGCACAGGTGGTGAAGGTGGATGAGTTTAAGTACCTGGGGTCAGCCATCCAAAGCAGCAGTCAATTCACAGGAGAGGTGAAGAGGAACGTGCAGACAGGTGTGACAGAAGGACAATAGCAGGAGTGAAAGGGAACGTTCATATCCACCAAATCAAAACACACACACACACAAACAACTAAATTATGCTGAAAACACAGTAGACGCCAACAAAACCACATCACTGCTGTCAGAGCACATTCACCGACCAAACACAGCCTGGCTAACTGCTGCAGCTGTGCAATGGTTTCTCAGGGGAAATGGGTGGCAGAGGAGTTCAGGGAAGAGACAGGACACAACTACAGGCACACAAGGCTGAAACTATGTTTGGATCAACAGTTTTTATTATGGAAGGTATCAACAGGAAGCAAGCATTCTTGCTGGGTGAACAAGTGTGTTTCCTGTATTTGGCAAAGACAGAATCAAAGAAAGATAGCGTACTGCAATGTACAAGAAAGGCAGTTTTTATTTATGCATTTTTAGCTTTGCTGATGCTATAATCTAGCAATAAATCTGCCAGCAGAAATGGTGGGGAAAGAAAAAGTAGTGCCACAAAGCAAATACCTTTACAGCAACAGCCTCATTTGGCCGGACTGTGAGAGCGCATGGATATTGAAAAAGCACAGCCTTTAAATCACTGTTAATTCAAACACAAGTTAATTAAAAATCTCAGAAACTTGGCCGTTGTACATGTAAGCTCATTGTTTTCAGTCACTGCACAAAAAAGCACATTTATTAAACTGTGAGATGGGGTGCAGATATTCTTCTGCGTATGATGTTCAAAGATGAGGCTTAAAAATGAGGGGAACTGAAGAAGAGCAGAGAAACAGTCTGAACAAGCAGCCAAGTAAAGCCAACGACTAACTGGCCGATCCTCACTCCTGACATTATTTCCTTCTGCGGCTCCGTGGCCTTGGTTCCTTCTTCCGGTCATCTCCCCGGCTGATTCCACAGTAATAAACCGCCGAGTCGCTCTGCTTGGAGCCTTGCACCACCAGTGAGCCATCGGCCGCTATAGAGACTTTACTGCGGGGAACACCGTTGCCGTATTTCAGTTTGAGTCTATCCATAGACCTGAAGGAGACAAGGAGCTGTGGTCCCTGTCCTGGTGCTTTCCTGTACCAGCTGAGGGTGGTGGGCGCGGTCGGGGCAGTGGTGGTGGTGAGCATGGTGAAATTGGAGGTGTCCAGCAGAGGGCACTGCAGGGTGGCATTCTCTCCAAGCCTCACCTGGATGGTCGATGAGGGATCGACAGCTGCATGGTTCTGTAAACCTTTACATGAACAACATCAAAGCGTTTCATATTCCTCGCATACTGAAATGTTGTGTAAAGTAATATGAACACGTAAAAAAAGCTTGTAGTGGAAAATCAAAACCTACAAAGTGAGTGTTAAAAATAAAAATTAACATGGGAAAAAATGTTATAACATGTCATAAAATCAGAAATGTTTGGGTCCAGATTTGTTGAATAAATGTTAAAGAAGAAAATAGCTTAAAAATTAAAGTATGTTAAAAAAAATCTCAAAATATTACCATTACGATCAAAAACTTTAACCTTTTGGAAACGTATTAAAAAATGTGCCTGTTTTCTTTGCATTTAACTTTAAACAACATCAGCGTTTAGTTTGTTTGACCAAGATTTAAAACAGAGGAAAACCTTCTAAATTAATTTTTAATGAATGTTTATTCAATCAAACCTGTAAGTCTGTGAGCCAATAAACATTTTCTCTTTTGCACTCTAATCTCTTAATCCTGCACACAGGAAGCTTCATTTTGAACAGATTTTCACCATAAAATCCTTTTAAATTGGCCTAAAGTGGCGAACAGAGCTTCAGCCTGTCGACAGCGTCTTCGTTAAACATCCAGTTTTAAAGTCGGTGAGTCAGTGAAGTGTGAATTTGAATTCATTAATTGACGACAGAAAAGACAGAAAGTAGAACTCACCACTGAGAGCGAGCAGGATCACCAGCAGAGACTCCATCATCAACTGACTGAGGAAGCTGCGGCTGCTGCTAATGAAACCAGCAGAGTGTTTCAAAACAAGACTAACGGATAACAACACATGGCTCAGTATGTGAACGCTGGATGTTTGTCCCTCATGTGAGTCCTTTAGTTCTCATGTATGTAAATGTGGTAACACTTCATTCGTATGTTAGCTACATTTTAAAAAAATATTTCAAAAGATATTTCAAAGAAAGTTTTGTACTAATCAGAAGAGACATACTTTTAACATTTAACATAGTTTAGATATATTTGGACACTGACACAAGTTTGTTTTTTTACCTGTCGACTGAAACATATAATGGACATAACTCTCAGCCTTCGTTTGGGGCTATCCACATTTCAGTTCGATGCAGGGTTTAGGAGTTTCAGCTCCCTAACATGTGCTACCCTGTTTTTAAAGGCGCCGAAGGTAATTAGACTGACTCAAAGAATATTTCATGGGCAGCTGTGAGGAATTCCTTTGTTATGTCATTATCAATTAAGCAGATAAAAGGCTTGAAAGAGTTGATTTGAGGTGTTGTGTTTGCATTTGGAAGATTATGCGGTGAACAGATAACAGTCAAAGGAGCTCTCCATACAGGTGAAACAAGCCAATCTTAAGCTGCAAAAACAGAAAAAAGCCCATCCGAGGTATTGCTACAATATTAAAGGTGATAAAAACACTAAGCTTTGGTTCAGTCAAAGCCCAACCCATTTGACCTTAGAACTGAAGAAGCTTCTCGGGTGAGAGGTGAAACGTCTTCAAGCAACTTAAAGAAGTCCAGACGCTTTTCTTTGCGAGCTCCTTTGACTACGATGACCTGGATGACTGAGAACCTTCACAGACATGACAGCATATATTGCTCTGCACACCTTTCAGCACTGATCATGCTTATCCAGACGTGCAAGCTGCCAGTTCCATATGCACTAATGCAGCGGTCTCCAACCTTTTTTGCACCACGGACCGGTTTATGCTCGACAATATTTTCACGGACCGGCCTTTAAGGTGTCGCGGATAAATACAACAAAATAAAACTAGTACCGGTACCGAAAAAAAGAAGATTTATTCATAACACACGTGAAAAGACCAGGAAAACAGAGTTAACGATCAAAACGATAACAAAATAACACTGAAAACCGATAAAAACCCTGAAAACTATACATTTCACACCTGAGCCTCAACTCTCGCGGCCCGGTACCGGTCCGAGGCCCGGGGGTTGGGGGCCGCTGCACTAATGCACCCCTATACCAACATAGATACGGGCTGTGGACTGAGTGCTGATAACAAGCCATATGGTCTCTTTCTCTGACCTTTACCTCTGACCTTTAGCATGCATGTTTTACAAACAGAATTACAAATCTCGATTCTTCTGACCATAGAACAGCTTTCTACTTCCCCACATTTTAAACGAGCTTTCGCCCAGAGAGGAAGGACGCATTTCTGGATCATGGTAACAAATGGCTTCTTCTTTCCATGATAGAACTTTAACCTGCATTTATCGATGGCATGGTGAACTGTGTTCACAAACAATGAAGTGTTCTGGAGCCCATTCAGTCATTTTCACCACAGAATCATGCCTGTTTTTATTGCAGTGCCAGCTGAAGGCCCAGAGACTGAACGAATACACAGATCACTGTTGATGGTCACAATTTTTTTAAATATAATTTTAACAGAATTTTGTTAAATGATCACACTGTATAAAATAATACCATGAATAATTATTGAACTCTTGTCTGTGTTGGGAGTTTGAAGGTGTAGAGTATGTGATCTTCCAGCAGGTGGTGCTGTGAAATCATCACTGCTTCGGAATCAGTCTGAGGTATGAAATCATGAGATGATGAAGCCTCAAAGGGCACACAGGGACTGGAGACTGTCACAAGCCAAAAACAACTTGTTTCAAATCTGAGCTTGTGCAAGGGGTTGCACAAATCTCTCCTCTCAAAGCGACAGTACTTCACTCACTGTCTGACATGCTGGATTCTTATGCGTTCTGTTAAACTGAACCACATTATCTCATTAGTGATGTCTTAGTGTCAGCAGTAACACAACGCTGAACAAAACACTTAGAAACAGAAATGAAAACTTTGGTTGTTTTTGGACAACACAATCAGCTGCAGAGCACAGCACTATTTATTGGTAAGCTGGAATATGAAGCCACTAACACACAGCCAGCAGGAAGTGTGACAACATGACACTGTTTTAGTTTACCTGAGTCACCCACACATTCACACACACACATTCATCCAAGCCCACGCTCACACTCCTGGTGGATTGGGGGCATTTCAGGGTTCAGCAACATTCAAGGTTGCTTTGGCAGACAGGGAGAGCTCGGGATTGATGAGTAGATTAGCTGCTCTTCCTCTTAAGCCTCTGTTTTTGGTATATCTGCTGCTAACATCAGCACCACTGTTCCTGGTTTGAATTAGCTCACTTTGCTGAGACTCCTTTTGCACTAAATTTTAAACGTGTTCATTTGTGCTGTAAAGTTTTGCATTTTAAAATCAGAGTCAGTGGAGATTGAGTCACTTTTGACACCAACACCAAGCGGCCATCAGAGCGACTGTGGATGTGTGGCACTGATGGGCTCATCTCGTTTCCAGGAAAGGGAGGAAAACAACCTGAACCTATTAGAAACTACATGTTAAAATGCATTTAGATTTCAAAGAAGGTTTTAAAGAAGTTTAAAATTGTAGGTTTGAGTTGATGCGACCATGTCTCTGACCGCCACGTTTCTATCATTGGTTAATACTGCTGCACCATCAATAAATAACAAATACAAGGCACTTGATTCATAAGACAAAATTCACATTTAGATTATCCCAGAGTGACGGAGTACAACACCGTGTATCCAGTACTCTCATCATATGGAACTAGAGGGTTAATTTAATTTAAAAAATACAATCATGGACATATTATTTCCGGTCTTGGCTTAGTATTGCCGTGCTGTGTGAGAGTGCGGTTAACCCCTGACCTCATCTGAATGCACAGCACTTCCTCTGTTTGGACAGTAGAAAGGAGGGTCAGAGGTCAGCTGGCTGTCTGCCTTCAAGCCAAAAACATCAGATCTGAGAACAGAGGAGTGTTTTCTTTCTCTGTTCTCATGTTTTCTCTGCATTATTGGGTCTTTACCTAACAACACGAAGCCCCTCGAGGAGACCGATGTTGTGATTGGTCATATATAAATAAAAATAATTGAATCTGTTCACAAATCTTTTTATGGTGGCAAGAAAGTGATGCTGATTAAACATTTCCTGTTGGCTTTTGCTGCAGCTTTTGAAGGTTTGAAGAATTCAGATAGTTTTGTGTTGCCTTTTGTGTTTGCAGGTGGTTCATATTTTAAGGTATACACATCATTTGGCTAAAGTGATAGCTACTCTGTTTCTTAGTTTAAACGGTGATTTTGAAAACCTGCATTCAGGATGGCAAAATGAGAAAAACATACGGTAATTTTAATGAATGATTTATTGCTTTAATCAAGAAAAATAATCAGTTTCAGCTTCTCCAAAGTGAAAGGTTGGTGCTCTCAACTGTTCTGCATCCTTGTATATTTAATATTTTTGGAGCCCTAAATGAACTAAACCTGTGAATGTAAATATCTTTTTCATGGCACTAACATATAAGTAACAACTGAATTGTAGCTATCGAAGCATGCAGAGGTCCACAGCATTGTTAAACTTGACTTTCTTTGAGTCTCGAGTTCTAAAAAAGATCAAGTTAAAACTGGACTGTAGCTCTGATGTGACTAAATGAGTCGCAGCTCTCGTTTGAAAACTAATTCTAATGGAACAGTCGATTGGTGTAAATTGTAGAGAAACATATTTTATATTTTTCAGTCGGTTTTCTCTTTTTAACTGAAGGATACACAAACACCTGCAGAATAATAACAATGGGATTCTTTTTCAGTATGAAAATGTGCATGTTAAACTAAAGCATCCTGTATAATGAATATAATTAAAGGATTGAAACAAACCAACCTGGTTGAAAATGAGCTGAAATTGTACAGCAACCGATTTTGTGTACAGCTGTCGCTCCTCATAGATGCACTCAACCACCCAGCACTATGGCAGCTGTGCTGATGAACAGGCATATTTATCATTGACAATGATGGCAGAAAGCCACTGATTCCTGCTCACTGTTTTTCTCTGCTATTTATGGACTTGGCCCAGGACACCTTCACTACACTAACTGTTTATCTGTCAGAGCAGTTAGCAAACACAGAACTAAAGGCAGAGGTCAGTGCATTATTGTTTGGACAGGAAAATGAATGTTATTTCCAGTTAGATTTGAAAAAGAAGCATTTTTCTTTAAGCTGTAATGCATTTTGATTCTAAAATCTCTTTAAAGCTCTCCCATCAGCAACAATAGTTTGGTGTTTTCCAGCTGTGAGCAGCTGGTCCATTTACCAGAAGTGAGTGTTGTTTGCTCTTAAGGCTCTTTGCTTTCAGTAAGTCTCCCTGTTTCATCTATTCTGCAGACGCTGCCCGTAAACCTGCTGAGAAGTATTATCCACTGGCTTCTTTATGAAAACAACTTGCATGTGTTTGGCTCCATCCCTGAAAACTCTGTCCTGACGGGGTGGGGTAGGTGGGTGTTGTTAAAGGAGTGGCTAACCCTAGGTGATTCAGGGACATGGAGCCACAGCTGGGCCAGGGTCCCTTAAAGCTCCTGGTAGGAGTTACAGATGTTTAAAAAGATGTTTGGCTAAACCACAGAGACTGTTGCCCCTGAACCAATCACAGCGAAGGTAGACATGGTGGGCATTGGGGGCTGTGGTCTTGTGAATCAGAGGGTGGGGCTTGTGGGATCTACGTGCCAGCAGCTGGCATGAAAACATGAATGCGGCTGTAAAGTAGGTTTTCTTTCTGATGCTGCGTTTCTTTGTCTTTCTTTTCTCTGTTTCTCTTTTCTGAGTTTCATTTCTCTGCCTGGAGCATATTTGCAGTTTGAGTTCATCCAAGATCATCACTGGCAAGCTGGGAAATAGAAACAGAAAGCTTCAGTGTTCGACACACACCCACCCACAGACACCCTCCCTCTCTCTTTACATGTAACTTTCCAAGTTAGCTCTGTGTGAG